AATGGTATAATGGGAATGAGGAGGTGGAAACTTAAGCCAGCAAATTCAAATATGAAATGAGATACACATGTTCAACTGTGAGGGTGATACGCTTTAGCCAAGCACAACTTACTGAGCTTAGTGCAGAGGGAACTCAGTGAAATGTAATGGCCTGTGATATGCAGAGGGTGAGGGTCTATGATCTAATCATTTCTTCTGGATGAAATCTCTTCATAAAAAAAATCTAGTTCAACCATAACTTATGGCCAAAAGAGAGGAACTGCTGCATGAAATTCAATGACCAGCACTTGTACAGGGTGCAGTTGGAAGTGTCCCTTCTGGCTTTGTAGTCTATGGATGGATTAATGTGTTAAAGTTGCTTTAGGGTGCAGCACGTGCTGGCAAAAGCCATAACAGAAAGAAACTCCTGTTAAAGTGCTTTCAAATAGTGCAACCTATCGACATCCCAGCGATGTCTGCACCAGCATTTAGTGTGGTCTGACAGGAACACATCTGTTGAGTGAAACAGTGATGATCCAGCCGCCCTGCTCCATGGGGATGTTCTTTACCTGTGCGCTGAATGCCCTGAGCATGCAGAGTGCATTAGAGCACGTGATCCAGTTTGTGCATGCTGAGACTTCTCTGCAGTGTAAACCGAAGCGTGGTAAGCGGGGATGAGGAGGAGATTCATTGGTAAAGATTCATTACTAAAGAATGCTCTTAATCCAACACATTTATATGGACTAATCCTGTAGCAGCTTTCACTTTAAAATCTGTGCCCATACATAAGATATTTTCACCTGTGTCCAGCATATACAATAAAGCACCGTGCTCTTACTTTCCTAGAAATTTTGTTAGACTACAAAACCTTAACTGAGACTTGATGTTGTAAATTATCTGATATAGCAGTAAGCCTCACCAGCTGGCAGTTGAATGATTGAACTCGTTGAGGCTGAAGATGAGGGTTCTTACTGCAATGTAATAATGAAAATGAAGTCCTACGTGGTAGTTGTCTTGCAGGCAGAATGTGGTATTTTGGAGTCTTTCAATGAAGAGTTGTGATGTATAGTAGGAAGATACGTTAGCTGTACGTTTCCTTTTTTTAAAGGACTTGGAAATGTGAGAAATGCACCACAAATGCATTCGTTGTTTTGAACTGAGATAGTTCAGTGTGTCAATTTAGGTGATGGTGTATAAATTAATTCTGGTGACAGCTGTGCAGTGGATTATTCCAAAGGCAGCGAATGGGCTCGGGTCCTACAAGAGCTCCAGATGTTACTGATTTTTTTCTTGTTACTAGCAATTACTCACTTGGAATTGTCGAGCGGTTTTTCTTCTTCATAACAAACCGTGGAAGAGTCAGCAGAATCAGGACCAACCAGATCATGAAACTTGCCAGTGGTGAGAATATGTACAACCTTACAAAGAGGAAGCGTTTCCAGCAAGCGCTGATTTCGATTTACTCATTTTTCTTGTTTTATAAAGCAGCATTTTTTCCTCCAATGTCTGTACTGAGCCAACGCCAGTTGTATTCTTCAGAAACCGCAATATTCCTTTGATTGGGTTTTTGTCACCTAAGATACTGCTCCGCCCCCAAAGTCATATTTTATAATTTAAACTGTTTGTCTTCTAAGATGTATTTATTGCCGTGTTTGTTTAGCTTGGTTATCTCCTTCGTCAATCTATTTCTTGCTAACTTAAAGCTGCTGCTCTTTGTTTTTAGTACAGAAAGCTGCTTCCCTAGGGATGTATGGTCCAGGACTTGTCTCTGTAATGGGACTATTTGTTTTCTTTGCCCCTTGCAGTTGCCTGCTGTAACATTTGTAGTATGTGTTAAGTAATCCTTGAGGTAACATTTTTATTATGTCATAAAAAGTGCGTGGCAAATATATAATAACTCATGGAATTTGTTTGTTTAAAATGGAAGGATAATTTATTGAGTGTGTTACATGAGACCTGCTCCCCCCCTTATTAGAGCTGCAGAAGTGCAGCTTATTTAGAAGCACGTTCTATTGAGAAAAACCACGATCTCTGACATGCAGAGAAAGTTTGAGCATGGTTGGGTAGAAATGACATCATAGTTTATGTACTCAATAAAAATTTAATTAAGTCATTACAGAAGTTGCAGTCATCATTTAACCCTCTGATTTCTTACGTTTGGTTCTTTTTTTAAACATTCAGTAATAACCAGTCTCCAAATCTTGATAGCCTATAAAATATCTGCATGAATTTTAATAGTTTATATTAATGGAAAAATATGAGTAACTGACATAAAAGGAATTTTCCTTGTGTTTGCACTGTATGCATTTCTATAAAAATCAACAGACGAAGGAAGATAGTGGTTTAATGGAGGAATATTTGAATTGGAGATTTGCTGGCATGGCAAAAACTAACTCATATTTTGACAGAAAAGCTGTTGCATAATTACCAAGGTGAGTACTCTTCAGGATATTAAGAAAGCATTTGGGACATGTGGATCATAACTATTAAATTTTCAGATTTGTGAGTTTTCACAGCTTTTCTTTAGCCTTGTGCTAAGCTGTACATCAAAGCCAGCAGCGCTTACTCCATAGCAGAGCTGATGCCCTGCCCCATATTCCTGTTTGCAGACTCTTTTTTGTAAAACCTCTCTCCAAGGTGCAGCCTCATACTTCAGGGTTCTGCTGGTACGCAGGTACCAAGATAAATTTATCCTTTAATGTTGTGTGCAAGATCTATAGAAAAGAAATGCGTAGTATCTCTTAAATCTCTCTTGAGCAGGAATACAATGAAGCAGCTTTACCAACTGAAGTGTTCCTTAGTCCTCAGGAGAGAAACTGTTTATTAAATCATTTTGTTGATAGAAGTAAAAAGGGAAAAGGAACAGATGGTTTGTGGGAGGGAGATGCACTTGGGATATTTCAGCCATCGCTCTGGACTTATTTGATCTCTTTTGATTCCATCTTAAGCTCCCATGGGCTCAGTTCTGCAAGCCAATGGGTGGTGTAGGCCAAACCAGCAAATATTTGAGCAACTGTTAAATGTAGTTTAAAAGTCAGCGTGGAGCTTGGACTGAGTCACACTTACAACATAGGGGGAAGTAGCGGGATCGTCACAAACTCTGAAATAAATTGACTCATAGTCAGAAAGTAATACGGCTGAGCTGCTGGTGAGATGCTGTAGGAGCAGAATGTGATCATGCATGAGAAAGTCAGTAGTGACAAGTCAGTCAGGAGTCGTGGTAGGGATGGTGCCTCTATCTTCAGCATTACAGTGCTTTGACTGTAAGAGCACACCCAGCTCTGGGGTCCAGGCTTTGGAAAACAAGTTGGAAAAGCTCAGGGTTTCTCAAAGACCTGTGTGAATGAATCAAGGTCAGGAAAACCAGCTTAATAGTTACAATACAGAGGAGTCTTCATTATCTTGGCTTTGCTGCCACTGAAAGGACAGCCTTGCCTTCACCCTTCCTCCGCTCGTGTAGCGCTATCTCGGCGCCGTTGGCTGAGGATTTTTCTGCCATTCGTATATTCTGAGTAACTCTGACGTTCATCTGCGTGCAGAATTAACAGAGCTGTATTGTGTGTTGTCCTAAAATGTTTGACTGCACTAACATCGTTACTCACAGCCAAATCCTGACCTGTGTGGGCCAAGGCACTGTTTCATCTTTGCCTACTCTGAGTGCAACTGGTAATATTTTCTCATCGCCTCCCCTTTAGATCCTATACAGATGGCTTTCTGGTTTATTTTTCAGGTTAATTCTGTTGTTCTAAAGCAAGATTTGAGAAGTATGGTAGAAAATTTCTATGGAGCTCTATTTGGATACGATGAGGTAAGAAGGATGTTTTCAGAGAATGCTCAAAACCAAATAAACCATCTAACTAATGAACACAGAATACTCCAGATGGGTAAAACATTTGCCGTACGTGTCTTGGGAAAAATGTTACGCTATGGAAGCAGACTTCTTAATTATTGCAGTCATCTTATGCCTTGTATTAAAGTCCTTTTAAGGAAAAAGGAAGCACACAGCATATTGATTTAAACCTCGGGACGTGGAAGGAGGGATATTCTCTGTACTGCTTGACTGTCAGTAAATCACTTCCTCCCTCTGAATCCCATTGTACTCAGCTTGACTTTGACAGCAAAGAGGGTATTTCTAGGGAGTTTATGTGAGAGGATATTTCTAGGATCTAATAATATGGGTAGGCAGAAGCACCACTGTGCACAAGTGTCCGCAGGACTTTCAAGAAGAAAATACAATTACATCATCTCTTTTAGGAGTTATTTTTTCACTCTGATGCGTCTTGCTCCTCAGATGCTCTTCTTACTCACACGGTGATACTATTTTTTGCACGGTTATTTGCAGTATTAATATCTCGTAAACTTCATGCAGTTGTGGGCAGTGTTAATGCATGGAAGTCTTTAACCGAGTTTGAAGTATAGCCAGGATGTGTGTGTGTGTGTGTGTGTGTCTTTTTTTTCCCCTTTTCTCTTTTTGTTGACACACTTTTTTGGAAACAAAATGTCTGGTTAAATGTAAGACAAATGTTGACCTTTTTTATTTTTAACTGACTGTTTTAAAGTCTTCTCTTGCCTTTGGCAAATGTGTCAGTAGAAGACAGGATTTATGAGACTGCGGTGATAACACCACTTAATCTAAAAAGTCAATAAAGGTGGGAGAGGATTTAGACAAAAAACACTGAAAGACGTGATACTTTTATACGCCAGATTTTAATACTAGATTTAGCTGGAAAAATCTGGATGGTTCCTGAGGAGGAGTTCTCTTTGTCTCATTTAGAATGAAAACTAGAAAAGCAAAGCGAAACAGCAAAATCCTGACTACATTTCTGCAACATTGTATTAAATATCCTTCAGTTTTTCTTTTCCAAGCCTTACGGGCTTCACACAATTCTGTGTGGTGGTACTGTCTTCTCTGTAAGGCCAGAATTGTTACGGTAAAGATTTCATAGCATAGAAATGCAGTTACTGGTTCCTACATGAGGAATACCCTGACCCAATTTTTTTTCCAAATTAACTTGCCAGAATATTTGTTACAAGCAGCCCTGTAAATTAATTTAAGGTCAGGGTTGTTTTTCCATTC